TGCTTCTCCATTGGCTCTTTTTTAGGTCTCCTCAGTACTGAAAACAAATAAAAGAGCCCATCACCGACTCTCTGTCCCTCCCAGCCTTTCTCTCTTCTCTTACAAACCTGACCAATAGTCTAATTATGCCCAACAGCATGTGCCACATTCCACTTTGATCATTTCCTGATTGCAAACAGCAAGGGAAAATAAGCGTAGTGGGGCTGAAGGGTACTGGATTTAGAGTCAGGAGACCTGGGCCTGAATTGTGATACTCACTACTTTGGTGACTGTGGCCAAGACACTTCACCCATCCGGGCCTCATTTTCCTCACTGTTAAGACCAAATGGTTGAGCTGGAATCCCTCTGGGCCCATTCCACCGCTAAGTCTAGGAATGATTCTATTCCCTTCTGAGCCCTATTATCAGATCTATTCTCCTCTATTTCTGCCATGCCTTTCAGGCACCCCACAGCCACCGGTAAATGAAAATACCAAGCTGTCCCAATGAGAAGCTTCTAAGTTAAAAAGGAAGGCTGTGTTTATCCAAGGAAACAAAGTTCCCATAGTTCTCCAGCATCACCTCCCTGAATAAGGTTCTCTGAGTACGATCCAGTTGCCTCCATTCCTCCCAGGTGAATTCCACGGCCACATCCTTGAAGGTCAGCGATTCCTGAAACATGCAACACACTCCTGCTCACCCAGGGATCCTCTCTCACGAGGACCTTGGGGGAGACTTGAAGTTAGCTGACGGCATAGGAAATGTCTTTCACGATGTATTCCAAGTCAAATATTCATTGCATACCTGTTATGTGTCTAACTTTCTACTAAACTCTATAGCATGGTGACTGTCCTGCTGAGCGCCTCAATGTCACTCTTAAGCAATACTTCTTCAAGTGAAACCCAAAGGAGTCATACGCTTTACCCTTACTTTAGAACCTAATAAAGAGTCATGCCTGCACAAAAGTAGTTAAGCTTTACTTAGTTTTGCTGAGAAATTTTTGCCTTACTAGGAACTAAATTGGGTAGCGCTTCATTCCAAAAGCCATGGGCCCCGGGAAGGAACCCCAAATGCTTTCATGTTAACACGGAGCCAACATAGGCACCCAGAAGTTGTTATTTCAATACAAGGAGTAGCAAGCTTTAAGACTGCATATCAGGGCTTCTTAAACTTTTTCCACTCATGACTCCTTCAGTGCTTCTTCTTCTTCTTTTTTTTTTTTTTTGCTTAGGCAATTGGGGTTAAGTGACTTGCCCAGGGTCACACAGCTAGTACGTATCAAGTGTTTGGTCTGAGGCCGGATTTGAACTCAGGTCCTCCTGACTTCAGGGCCAGTGTTCTATCCATTGCGCCACCTAGCTGCCCCTCCTTCAGTGCTTCTTAAACTGTGGGTCGCAACCCCACAAGTTTAAGCCATAGATAAGGTAGAGAGAGTTCATGAAGGGCTTTAGAAACTTGCTTTGAAAGATCTCAGAATAACAGTGCGGTGATCTACTTTCCAAGTCACTGTGACCATTATAGTGGCCCAGAAAAGCTAAGAGAATCCCATCTCGCCTCCTCCTTAACCTCTTTTTAACTAAAGATCTAAAAGGAATACCAGGCTTAGCTCAAAACGCTAAATCCCCAGAGATACAAAATAAAATACAAGTTTCTTTATTCAGATGGTCAGAAGGCAAGCTGGGGGGAATCCCAGGGACAGAAGCCTTCCTGAGACAATATCTCCCTTGAAGAGAATTATGGACAAGGCAAGAATCTCTTGATTTCACTATCCCATGAAAGGATTAAGCATTTTTATTTCCCATCTATAACGCTGCAGGGCTAGGACTGACTTTCTTAGTCTCACATTGGCTTCTCTCCTAGGGTATGTAAGGGCCTCTGCCTCCACCTATGGAGAGAGGGAACCTCTAGTCTGACCAGAGGTCAGGGCTCTCCTTTCAGATATAAACACTCAAGGTTCCTGGGCCAACAGAAGTCTTCCTGACTCCCTGGGAAACAAAGTACACTATCATCTAACGTGTCCCTTTAAAATCCAAATACTTTACTGAAGGGATGGAGAAAAAAAGATTGAGATCCACTACTTGTAGATATACTGAGGATAAAACCCCCAGGACACATGCTCTGTCAGAACCGGTTACTTGAAATAAGCAGGGTTCTGGGTGCCAATACAGCCTGAAGAATTAATGACAAGCTTCAAATAGCATTATTTGGTTATGGGAAATTATCAGCCTTAACAATACCCTCGAGCTGTCTGACTTGGGAAAATAATATATATTAGGGTACATTCTGCATTAACCATATAACCTATTCATATTTTTCCAAAATAAAGAGAAAACAAGGACCCACAGGGAAATTGTGCCAAGTCAAGTCCTGATAAATGAAGGGGGGGGGGACCCTTATACAAGGCCCTTTCAATGTTTGAGTCTATTGGTTTTAGTGAAGCTAAGTAAGGATAATCAGAATTTAGTTAGATAAAAGGGCATTGAGCAAAATTTTCTTCCCTGAAAATCTGCTGGGGGGAAGGCAGAGTAAAACCTTCAGCATCACATGGTAGACAGTTGCTCAAATGAAAACTATTTTGGGGGGGAAGTTTTGGCAAAATATGACAACAATCTTAAAAAATGGGGGTTACATAAATCTAGGCTCTTTGCCCTTGGGTCAGTGTGTCTTTAGCACTTCTAGGTTTTTCATTTCTGTCCACACTTGTCATTCATCTTCTCCCTCTGTCTTTGTCCAGCATCAGTCGCTTTATGTTTTAGGCCCTCTCCCGATCTGTGTTTCTCTCTTTGGTTCAGTGTCGATGGCACCTCCACCCAGATCTCTATGAGATGTATAAGAGCATATGAAAAATGGCGACCCAAAATGACCCTCAACTGATCCAATTGTTTTGATGGTGCTCTACATTCCAGCCTGGTATAGAGGCTGAAACACTGAACTGATGTGAAGACACTGCCTCGACTCTTATCTATACCCATGCTAAGTAAGAGCTTCTGCAAACTGGCAACTTCCCACCTCATTAATACATATGTAGTTCTCACCCTCCAACTTACAAACATTTCTCTAAGTTAGTGGCACAGAACCATCCAATTTCCTCCAAACCACTAATAAAATCACTTGAGGAGCCAGAAACCAAAACCCATGTTTTGAGAATTCCTCAGAGGGAAAGCCACAAGTGGCATAATGTTTGCCATTACCTGCCAGGGGTGGGGAACCTGCGGCCTGAGGCCACATGTGGCCTCCTGGCTCCTCAAGTGGCCCTGAGCCACTTAGGCTTCCTTTGATGACTTCAGCACCTCACATTTTACCTTTCTATCCAGCCCTTCCTATCATCCTTGTTGACTTCAACATTCACAATGTAGAAATGTCATCAACGTCCCTGATCTTCACATATCCTCCATGGTCAGCCATCATCAGATAGGATGTCCACAAAATGAACTTCACTGCTACATGCCAGTGTTTCACCCCAAGAGATCTCAAATGGAAAGTCCCTATTTCCTACCTGAGTTTCCTTGCTGATCATCTCTACTCCCCCACATTTACTGCACCTGTTCTGCATGCTCACTGATCAGTGCATTCCCTCAGCCCAATTCGCTGAAAATATCAGCATTCCTAACCACATTTAACTATCCGCATGGTTTGGCTTCCATGGTCAGAGACTTTAAAAATCACTCACAGTGTCAAAGAACTCTTGGGGAAACACTTCTTTTTTTAAACCACAGCATACAAGTGTATCATGTAAATAAATTATAAACATGAAGAATTCAGAGAAATGTGGAAGATTTGTATAAAGTCATGCAAAGTGACATAAGTAGAACCAAAAGATACAGTAACGACAGTGATGCCAAAGAGGAGCACTAAAAGGAAACTGAACTCAGAATAAATTGGAAAACTAAAGACTGTCCTGGAGATCAGATAATAAAATAAGCCTCCCCCCCCCCCCCCCCCCCATGGCAGGGAAGTGGAGGACTTAAAGACCGGAGTATTTTATGCACTGTCAGACCAGATTTCTGTGTTGTGTGTTATTGCTACAAAGGAGGATGGAATGCTTGGAAATGTCTTTGATTAAAATATCAAAGGCCATCAAAAATATTTTTAAAGGTTTTTGTTTTTGTTTTTTAAAGAGGCCTCATACTCGGAATGTTATATCATACTGGATCTCCCTCGAAATGCCTGCTTCATTCATGCCTGGCCCAAAGCAAGTGGGAAAAAATCTGTAGAAGAAACACGTTGCACCCTACAAGCTCCAGCTGAATTCTTATTTTCATTTACCTATGACACTTGCTACCACTCCTCAATTGAACCTCAGAACATTCTAGACCTTAACTGTTCTTTCCTCTCAAATGTCCACATTCCTCTTTTTCTTGAACACATTCCCTTCTTAAGCTATGGAAATTTGGCTTCTTTGAACAGCACTGTAGAGAACACTGAAGTGATCCCTTGCGAGCTACCACATCTCTCCTTGTCTTCACTCTGTATATTATTGTCCCTATTTGACTTAGCACACTTCTCCTTCAGTGAAGTACTCCTGCTTCCAATGACAGGGTGAAGGATGCTTGCTGCTGCAGAGGCTGTGACCAGATACCTTCAGTGCTCTTTATCAGGGTCTGAGGAATCTCCTCCTTAATGTGAACTGTCTGCTGGTTCCCAAAGATGACATGTTAATTCCCTTCTCAGCTAACAAATCCTGCACATCCCCAAGAGAATCTTAAAGAATCGTTCAAGAGTCCAGCCCTGCTCCTTTGAGCCCCCATCAATGTCTCCCTCCTTTAGACTACTATAACACTTGAAAAACAATGCCAGAAAAGCCAGGAGTTAACCACAATTATGCAGTTCGATTTGGCCTGGATACTGCAATGAGACTAAAAGTTCCTCATGTACTTTTCCTTTGAGATTATCTCCAATGTATGCTGTTTATATCTTGTTTGTACATCGTTGTCAGAGGAAGCTAGAAGGGGCAGGGGATGGATAGAGTCCTGGACCTGGAGCACGGGAGAACTGAGCTCAAATCCTGCCTCGGACACTTACTGCGTGACCTTGCGCATGTCCCTTAACTTCTGCTTGCCTCAGTTTGCTTATCTGTAAAATGGGATGATAACGGCACCTACCTAGCAGCGCTGTCGGAAGGATAAAATGGGCTGACAGCTAGCTGTTGCTTGTCATCGGTTAACTTCTTTCTGATTGTTTGCACGTTGTCCGCCCCGTCAGACTGTGCGCTCCGCGAGCGCAGGGGCCGTTTCTGCCCCTCTCTGCACCCGCAGCGCTCAGCGCAGGGGCCGGCGCACAGTAGGGCAGTCTTTGGCGGAGGGGTGGGGTCGGGGGCAGCGGCAGGCGCGGGCGGCCCAGCACGCGGGGAACGGGGGCTTCTCGGCCTGCGGACGCGGGTGACACTTCATCTCACCTGGAAGCCGGCCGCTGGGATCCCGGGGCCCATGGCCTTCTCCGGGAGGGAGGAGTGAGGCCCTTGCTGTCCGAGGCCCAGCGGACCTGAGGAGACCCGAAGGGCGGCCTCGCAGTCCCACGGCTCCGCTCTGGGCTCCTGCTGCGGGGGCTTAGCTGTTCTCAACCTATGCTGGCACCATTCCGTACCCCTCCATCCCCACCTCCGGCCAAACCCCAGGCTTCCTGGGGAGAGCGCGTGGGGCAGGGCCATGAGTGAGAGCCTAGAGAGCCCCGATGGGGTCAGCAAGAAGGGGCGAGGACAGGAGCGTGCTGAGCTCAGCAAACGCGCGGGCCCCACAAGGCTCCAGCTTCGTGGCTTCGTCCCGAGGTCCCTGGTGCGGGGCTGCCCCCGTACTCTGTCGGCCACCCGAGGTCCTCGCCTCCCACCACCTTTAGGGGCCCTCCCCCTCCTCACCCCCTGTACAGTTTGGCCCCGTCTTTCTCATCCTCCTTTCTATTTACACCACAAACCCCCCAACCCAAGGCTTCATCACCTTGGTCCCCCTTTCTCAAGTCTCTACCCTCTCCATCTAACTTCTACACAGACTGCTAAACTGGGTTCAAAGCCTGTCTAAACCTAGTCACTCCCCTGCTCCAAAAACTACAGAAGCTCTCTATGATCTCTCAGACAACATACAAAATCCTTTAGCTGTTAATGCTCTTCACAATCTGACTCCAGCCAACCTTTCAAACTAATTTACTCGTTGTCCTCTTTCGCACACTGTACAGTCCAGCTAAACTGGCCTGCCTACCGTCCTCACGCAGAATGCTCTCAGAGGACTCTGTCTACTAACTCCATCCCTTTGCACAAAGCTGTCGGTCCTCCTTGTCTGGATTTCACTCTCTCCTTACTGCTGCCTCAGCTATCCTTATCTTCAAAACTCAGCTTAAGGCCTCCTTCTATACCAACACTTTGCTGCTCCTCCTAGCTATTAGTGCTTTCCCCCCCACCCCCCAAAACCATGTCATATTTATTTTGTAAATGTGAGAAGTGGTGTGGGCTAGGTGCCAACCAGCAGCTCTGTAACTTAGCACCCAGTTCTAGGTCACAGTTCCAGGACAGACGGAGGAAGAGAACCTGTGCCAATGATTCAAGTTTGTACAGCATTCTCTCAGTTCTGTGCATTTCACTCTTCATTATTTCATGCAAGTCTTTCCATGTTTTTCTAAAATCAACCTGCCCATCGTTTCTTATATCACACTTGTTTGGCCATTCTCCAAATGATGGATATCCCCTCAATTCCCAGTTCTTTGCCACCACAAAGAGAGTTGCTATAAATATTTTAGAATATATAGATTCTTTTCCTTTTTCCCTGATCACCTTGGGAACAGATCTACTAGTGGTATTGCCGGGGCAAAGGGTATACACAGTTTTACAATTCTTTGGGCATAATTCCAGATAGCTCTCCAAAATGGTTGGATCACAGTTCCACCAACAGTACATTAGTGTCTCACTTTTTCACTTCTCCTCCAATATCTGTTATTTTCCCCTTTTATGATTTAAGCTGATCTGACATCAGCTAACCTAACCCTGGCCTACAGAGCTCCTACCCTACAGTTGAATCATAAAGAAAATGTACAAAAACTATTGTGAAGATGATTCCACTCACCATTGGCACATGGAATGTGTGCAAGCTCATGGACAACATGAAATCCAGTAGACTTGAAAGACGAATAGCTTTTGTTGCAAGAAAGCTCAGCAGGTATTGCATCCAAATAGCAGCCCTCAGTGAAACAAGGCAAGCCGGAGCTGGATCCATGTTTTTCTGGAGTGGTCACCGTGATGAGGAGCACCACGAAGCCAGTGTAGATTTTGAAATAAAATCTAATCAAGTGAACAAGCTTGCATGCCTCCCAAAAGGAGTGAACAACAGGTTCATGACAATGCAATTGCCACCTGTAGGAAAGTGCCACGCCACCATCATCAGTGTGTATGCTCCCACCATGATGAACCTTGATGAGGTCAAAGAAAAATTTCACAGAGGACCTGGAGACCCTCATCATCAACAGGCCAAAAAAGGACAAGCTTGTAATGCTAGGTGACTTTAATGCCAGAACAGGTGCAGACTATAAGATCTGGCAGGGAGTCCTTGGGAGAAAGAGTTGGAAATAGCAATGGTCACTTACTACTGGAAACTTGTGTATCTCATGACCTTCTCATCAGCACTGTCTTCCATTTACTTAAACACAATAAAGCTTCATGACCGTATCCTCACAACAAACACTGGCATTTAATCGACTATGTCATCGTAAGAAGAAATGACAGGATGCTAGAGAGGAAGGTGATGTAAAAGCCTCATTTCTCAAATATATAGGGGACTGAGCCAAATTTATAAAAATAAGAGCCATTCTCCAGTTGGTAAATGGTCAAAGGATATGAACAGGCAGTTTTCAGAAGAAGAAATCAAAACTATCAATTTGTTGTTCAGTTGTTCGGTTGTGCCCAACTCTTTATGACCCTGTGAACTTGTCCGTGGAGTTTTCTTGGCAAAGATGCTAGAGTGGTTTGCCACTTCCTTCTCCACTGTGTCCCCATTTTAGAGATGAGGAACTGAGGCAAATAGGGGGTGAGTGGCTTGCCCAGGGTCACACAGCTAGTAAGTGTCAAGTGTTTGAGGTCATATTTGAATCCAGGGCCAGTGCTCTATCCACTGCACCACCTAGTTGCCCCAGTGTAGTATTTTATATTAAGAAGATATACTAATGAGAGCAGCTGTATTGTGCTCTGGATAGAGCTCCAGGCCTGCAGTCAAGAAGGCCTAAGTTCAAACCTGACCTCAGATACATACTAGCTGTGTGACCCTGGGTAAGTCACTTAACCCTGTTTGCCTTGGTTTCATCATCTGTAAAATGAGCTGGAGAAGGAAATGGCAAACCACTCCAGTACCTTTGGGAAGAAAACCCCAAACAGGATCATGAAGAGTCGGACACAACTGAACAACAAGAAAAACTCATGAAAGGATACGTAATTTTATAAACTTCCCAAAAAGCAGAATTTAAAATGGATCTGGGATTTTTCTTCTCTCCCCTCCTTCCTACCCCTGTCCCCAAACCTAACTGAGCTTGTCGTAACCTGGTAAGTCTATCTGAAAGTAGGGGGCCCAAGCCAAACTCCAAGAGGAAAGGAGCGGGGGTGGATGTCAAAGAGAAGGTCACACTCTTTGGGCTGTTCCATGGAAGGAGAAAGGAAGAAGTGTCCCCCCCCCTTTTCCTTTTGGGAGGAAGGGGTGAAAGAGTGAGCCGCTAAGTGAACTTTGACTCCACAGTGACACCTGCTGGTTTTAGAAGTAAAAAAAAATTCCTGCCAATTAGAGCTGTCCAGAAGAGCTGTCCAGTGTCCCCAGCAAGTCTGGGGAGCACTTTGGGGGGATGAGGGTGGGTGTATCAGAAGCAGCAAGCAGACAAAGGCCAACCCCTCGGGTTACCCTAGAGGCAGTAATTGCCCCCGGGGAGCTGGCTTGTTGATCCTGGTGGGAGGTGGTGACGTCACCTTGGAAGGGCAGGTACAGGAAGACAGACTCTCGGATGAAACGTGGAGAGACGTGGGCTGTTCTGAGGACCAGACGGAGGGAGGAAGGTACTGAGGAAACTGACCAGACGACGACAATAATTAGCATTATTAGTAAAATGATTAGGATTATTAGTGAAAGATTATAGTGTAATATCAGGATTAGTATAACAGTATTATTAGCAATAATCATTAGTAGTGAAATATTAAAATAACTGGCATTTACACGGGACCTTAAATCCCCAAACGTTTTGCTTACTTCATCATCATCATCATCATCATTTCCATTGATGCTCCCCCACCCCGCTCAGTCATTATCCCCATACTACAGTGAAGGCACTGAACCTTACAGAGGTCAAGTGACTTGGCCAGTCCCCCAGCCTGATTCAGAGGAGGGATTCGGACCCTAACCCTAACCCTAAACCTTCAGATTCCAAGGACAGCTCTCTCCGGTGAAGCTAACACTTATAATTTGCCTAAAACCAGCCGTATTCCTGGCACCCGTGGACCCCTTGCCCACCTCTCAGTAGTAGCCCCTTTAGCCTTGTGCCAACTCAGAGCCTGCAAGGCTCTTAGAGACCCTCACATCTCCAGCGCCAGCCTCCGCTCTTTGGGCATGCGCAGAAGCCCTCCGCTGCCTCAGGACTACATTTCCCAGAAGTCGCTGCTGGACACGCACCCTTCCCAGAAGTCCCGGGAGGGTGGTTGCCACAGAAACATCCTCCTGCTGAGTTGGGGATATCCGGAAATGCCCGCTCCGGCTAGGGGGGACCCCAGGTTTCCGTTCCCGTCTTCTCCCTTTTTTTTTTTTTTTTAGGCAATTGGGGTTAAGTGACTTGCCCAGGGTCACACAGCTAGTAAGTGTCAAGTGTTTGGTCTGAGGCCGGACTTGAACTCAGGTCCTCCTGACTTCAGGGCCGGTGCTCTATCCACTGCCACCCAGCTGCCCCTCCCGTGTTCTCTTTGTACCGGGTCCTTCCCGGCTGGACCTCTGTCAAGGTGAGTGTCCGTCCCACAGCTCCCCGGGGACCCAGGCGTCCTGACCCCCGCCGCGGCCGTGACCAATGCCCGGGGTCCTCTCTGCCCCTCGGCCTGCTCCCCTTCTCCCTCTCCCCCCCACCCACCCCCCAGGTTTAGGCTTTATCTCCCGGACTTGTGCCCAGGCCTTAGGCCGACCCCCACTGCGTCCCTGCTTCGCTCCCGGAGGAGCTGGGCACTGCCTGGTCCGGGGCTGCAGCCCTCCCCTCGCTCAGCAGCACAGCCCGCTCGTTTGGCCTGTCCTAACCCTCTGGCCTGTGGGTTGGCACTGTCAGGGGGACAGCCCTTAGCAGGGCAAGTTTGGAGGAGCTCCTCATGCTCAGCACCGACTTTCCTCTGGTAAAAGCACGGGATTTGAGGTCCAGCCTCGCTAAACTAATCCAGGGGCCTAACCCTGGATTAGGCCTAACCCTAACCCTAACTGTGCAGACCTTGGGTAAGCTGGGAAACCTCTCTGGGCCTCAGTTTCTTCGTGTATCAAAGGGGGCATCTGGATTAGACGATCAGATCTCTGAGCCCCCTGACACGACCCTAAATCTGTGATCCTGCGATTTCTGCAGAAGCCTCCAAGTGTCTGGTCCTGCTTTCGGGAGATGTAAGGAAATGCCAGCCTTCCTCATGTCTCCTTTCTCCTCCTCAGCCGCCTTCTGAAGACTGTTGTTTCCTAAAGGGTACGATGATCGGGACAGCCAGCGTCCAGGTAAGTGGGAGTTTCTGCCTTTACTGAAGTGAATTCTCAAGTCGCAGACACATATCTTTATAATATGAATGGAACGGTTAGGAGAGAGATCTAGAGTTGCAAAATAATTCGACCGTCTCAATAAAAAAAATTCGTAAACCATAGAATCATATGTCTAGCTCTGGAAAGGATCTTAGAGGTCATCTGGTTTGACCTCATTTTACAGATGTAGAAACAGGCTTAGAGAAGTTAACGCCACTCGGAAAGGGGTGCAGGTGTGGATTTTAAACACAGGTCCCATGCCTTTTCTCTGAGATTATAGTTGTTTGCATGTACTTGTTTGCATGTCGTATCACCCATTAGACTGTACACTCCTCGAGGATAGGGCTGGTGTTTTTGTCTTTCTTTGATTGATGGGCTTTGAATCTCCAGTTCTTAAGCACAGTACCTGGCACATAGTAAGTGCTTCATAAAAGTTTGTTGATTGACTCACTTGAGTGGTGATGGGAGGCAAAAGCTTAAAAGGAGGAGGCACAGAGTTATGGATGCCAATAGGGCAAAGAGCCTCGACTTCTGTCACAATCTCCTGTTTGTCTCCTGAGAGGCTGGTACCATATTTCAGCATCTGTTTCTCCACAGGTGGGCACCTATCTATCATGTGATGCTGTTCCTGTGGGTCTTTGCTTTCACTTTCTCCCCAGCAGAAACTCAAAGCTAGGGATTTTGCTCAATTCTCCCTTTAATGCATTACATTTTGAACATTCTTATTTAGCTCCATTTAAACCAAAAGGCCCAAACACCGCGTAGCACAAGAGGCCCTGGATAGCATTTGTATGAGCGTAAGGTTCCCCCTTTGCAGAAGAAATGGCAAACCACTCCAGTATCTTTGCCCAAGAAAGCCCCAGATGGGGTCATGAAGAGTCGAACATGACTGAAAAACAACTGAACAATAACAAGGTTCCAGCTAAGTCCAATCTCCCTATATCCCTCTCTGTTTTCTCTTTATTTAGGGTGAAATTTGGTTAGAATTATGTTAAAGAATAGCCAAAATTATCCTCTAATACTATTAAAGACCATCCTAGCAAATACTGTTTTCCTTTGACAAATAAATCACAGTTGGGATTAAAGCTGATAGTTTTCCTTAATATTCATACAATTAACCAAACAGTGCTATCTATATCTTCTCATCAACTTAATAGAGCCTTTCATTGACACCTGGAATTTTTTCTCCAGACTAGTTCTGACAGAAGATATCTCCTAAGGGCTTTTTCCTCCTGACAGTATCAACCCACTGGCAAAAGAGAGCTCGACATCTGCATCTCTTAAGCAGGAGAGTTTGGATTTTAAAGGGATTTTGATAGATAAAATGGGCTTATTTTCTAGTGAAGCAAGAAGACTCCTTTTTTGACCCAAGAACCTTTAGTGTTCATAACTTAAGAGGACAGCCCTGACCTCTGATCAGATTCAGGGCTCCTTGTCCCCACAGGTTGGAGATGAGTTACAACATTACATTTAAAGGTCCATAAGTGGGACAAGGGAACTCTTAGTCCTTTAGTGGGGTGGGGAAATTCATTCACTGTCCACTTTTCCCTTCAAGAGAATTTTCATCCCTGAAAGACTTCAATAGTATCTGTAGCATCTTCATGACTCTTGTCATATTGAATATTGCTGGGGTTTTGGGTTCAAGATAGAGGACTGGGATTCCTTCAAGACCTTCAGGTGAAAGGAGATCAGGACAGGTGAGTCGGAATTCCCCTGGCTTTCAAAGGCTACAGTCTTCAGGAAAGTAGGTGACAGGATGTCATTCTGAGGTCTTACCAGATAGGCCTTTTAAAGCCTTTTTATCAACCAAGTTACCTTATTGTGCAATCTAGATTCTTACTACTCTGTGTTTTGAAGTTACAGTTTCTGGGTGCCTACATTGGCTACGAATTTTGTCACCATGAAAGCGTTCAGGGCATTGCTTGGACTTTTATGGTTTTGGGAACGTGGCACTTCTCAATTTAACCTCTAAAACAACAAGATAGACTTAGCAAAACTGCATAGAACCCAATTGCTTTTGTGTACTTAGGAGTACTTACCTGGTTCTAAATTAAGAGTACCATTTGTTGGGGACTTAACTTGAGCAGACTATAATATATGGATGACTTTGAGTGATGGGGCAGGAATATTGGTAAGTTAACATCAAGTAAAGAATGCAGTATCCAGCACGTGCTCCAGTATTTGACTCAAAGTACTCAGTACCCAGCACATTTTGAAAGATAGCCCTTCTACTTCTAGTTAACTTCAGATCCCCCCCAAAGTACATGTGAGAGAAGATCAGGGTGAGCAGGAGTGTATTGAATATTTCAGGGATCAGTGACCTTCAAGGATGTGGCTGTGGAATTTTCCCAGGAGGAATGGAAACAATTGGATGTTGTTCAGAGGAACTTGTTTAAAGATGTGATGTTGGAGAACTACAGGAACCTTGTCTCCCTGGGTAAAGACAAACTTCCCTTTGTGACTTGGAATCTGCTGGCTGGGGTGACTCTGTGCTCTTGCTTTCCAGGAGCCAGGGGGTATCTAGTGTTAGCCCATTTTTGCCCTGGTAGGCTGAGATATTTTAAAACAATTGTAATATGAGGAGATCCTTAACTCCTTCAGAACCAAGAAAGAGCACGGGCCAGAACCCTGCTCCCAGGTGTAAGGTCTTTTCTTTGTACAGATGGAAATCCACAGCTTTGAGGTCCTAGCTTTGAAGCTGTACCTTCCCCATTCTTCGTTCCACTGCATTAAAATACCAGGGCAGCTATGTGAAAATGAGAAAGATGTTCCATTCAAGAATTGAGTCATATGAGCTAATTTTCTTTTTGAGCCCCAGTTTACTCTGTGACCCTGTAACACAGTGCTGAACAGCCTTCAGAGGTCCCCTGTTCTCCTCTGCCGCCCGTCCTTCCTAGCACACCTTCTTTTCCCAAAAGTGGAAAAAGTTGAGATTGCATTCTTAGATGGCTCTGTTCAAAGAACGTTCCCATTTCCCCCCTCAGGACTTTCAGTTGATAAACCAGATGTTCTCTTCTACTTGGAGAGAGGAGATACGCCCTGGATAATAGAGCAGGAAGTCCTAAGGAGCACCTACCCAGGTGAGTAGAGTCCGTGGGAGTCACTGAGGAATAGTGAACTATTCCTTTGAGGAGATAACCCTTTGAAACTTTGGATCAGCAGACTTCCTCACAGTTTCCTAGGGTCAAGGGGAAGGTCTGACTCTGAGCTTTCTCCTACATACTCCTTGTAAATACTCATTTTCACTTTTGCAAACCACTTTCTATAGGATCACAAAATGTTAGATCTGGAGAGGAACTAATCTGTCATCTCTAGATTTTAATTTTATAGGAGAGGAAACTGAGGCCCACGGAGATAAAGTAAGAAACAATCCCAGGACCCTCGAGTTGTAAAGAACCTCAAAGGCCTTATCTTCCAACTCAAACTTAAGTGATTTTTTTTCATCTTTTTCCATCTTACCTGGAGCCTCTAATCCAGTTGGAGAAAGACCTCCAGTGAGATGTAACTCACTGCCTCCTGAGGCCTTCACTTCCACTTCTGGATTGCTCTAATTATTTAGAAATTTTTCTCTATATCAAGTGTAAATTCACTTCTTTTTCACTTCTACCCATTGCCCCAACTTCTCCCTTTGGGAGGCGACTACAGTAAGTCTCGTCAAGCTTCACATACTTGAAGACTGTCCCATCTCCCCATCACTCTCCTCTCCAATCAACATAAGCCATGCTCTGGAGCTCCTTCACTGCCGTGGTTTCCCCATCTACCTTGTCTACTCTCTGCTTCATCCATGTCCTTCCTTACAGCTCAGAGGTTGCCTAAGGCCACCCAGCTTGCACGTTATTGGCATTGTAACTTGAACCTATATCTTCTGACGTGAGCTAGGAGCTCTCCCATTTCCAGACATATCTCTACCCCTCCTCACATCCTGTCTCAGAGAAAAGTGTTCTTTGTCTCAGACACTAACCCTTTCTCTTGTACTCTGGTTCCAAGTCTTTCCTGCCTTGTCCCCTCCACTGTAATCCTTTATCTTTTACAATGTAATTCAAGCCAGCAAAAGCTTATTAAGTACCTACTGTGTTAGGCCCCGGGGCCACAAAACAAAAATGAAAAATGATTTCTGTCGCTAAGGAGCCTATCATTCAAGGTCAGCTATCCACTGCATCCCAGGCCATCACTAGTCATCCTGACTTTGGACTTGCCATGGGACTTCCATGACTCTGGAAGAGAGAGTGAGGCTGACGATTTTGTGCAATTCTGCTTCACTTAAATCCAGTTCACCCATGAGTCAAGGTATCACCCATGATGTCATTGGTCCTCTTTGAAAATAAAGGACAAAACAACAACAGCAATGTAAACGTGTGTAAAATGCATATGAAATAAATGTTGTCATGTGTGGAAGATAGGTTATTACTGATGAGAACAGAAGGCAGGTAGACCATGTAGGCGACTAATGAAATAGTTTAGACAAGAGGTAATGAAGGTCTGATGCATCTCTAGGGTGTAAGTGTAGAAAAAGAGAGGTGGTTGTGAGTGTAGAGAAGGAGAAAATGGGAGAAACATGTCAGCATAATTAATGAGACTTGATAAATAGGTAGATATAGTGGAATGAAGGGAGGAATCTTGGATGACTCTGGGGGAGTGGAATCAAGGAGAAACCCTTATCCCAATCCCACTGGTATCAAGTCCTCTTCGTACCTCCCCTTTCCACCCCCGTTCACTCCTGGAAATTACTTTGTACCGCCTTATTGGGGTGCGTGTTCTTTCCTTCGATAGAGAGTAAGTTTTGTGAGGGCAGGAATGGTTTTATTTTTCTCTTCATTTCCCTAGAGCTTGGCTCGTAGTAGGGAATGATGAATAAATGAATGAAATGGAGAAGTTTGGGACTGGAAAGAGTTTGAGGAGAATTATAATTTGTTTTATTCTTGATATGTTGAGTCTCAGATGCTCATGTGCTCTCCAGGTGAAGATGCCTAGCAGACAGTTGGTGATGTGGGACTAGAGTTCACTTGTGAGATCAGGGTTGGACATAGAGCTTTGAAATAATTGAAATCTTTATCCAAATGATTGAATGTAGCTCCTTGTTACCTCAAAGAGAAATTATAAGCTTTTCTGTCTGGCATTTTAAAGCCTTTTATAATCTGGATTTCTACTTACTTTTCTAGACTTATTTCCCATTATTCTCTTTTATGCACTTTTCATTCTAGCAAGATTGGCCAACTGCTAGCTGTTACCTGAACTCAACTTTCCATCTTCGTGCCTTTGTATAGGTTCTCCTCCATCCCTAAAATCAGTGTCATGATTTTATCAGTCTCAGAAGCCCAGGCTTCCTTCAGGCTCCAGTTCAGGTGCCATCTTCTGAAGCCTTCCTCTCCTCTCTGGCCTCTGTAGAGCTGTCTCCCTGCAGAAAATACTTTGCATTTACTTAACTGTTGTTGTGATTATTCAAATACTAAATTAGATTATGATTGAATCAATTTGGATTCCCACCCGCCATGCTTATGCATTGCACATGGCTTGTGTGAGTCCACACGTTACGCTGGAGGCCTTCCTCCCTCTTGTTTTATACCATGAGGATACCAGTGAAGCTCTCTGAGGTTGCCCACCTGGCATCCCTCACCCTCACCATCTGACCAGCCAGGCTTCTCTTTCCATTATGTATTTCCTTGATAACATCCTTCACTCCTCTTCTTCCACATTCCTCGTTTGTTATATGCTATAGCTCAAGCCATCATCCACACCTCCACTGCCCTCTTTGTGTTACACATTTTCATTCTTTGCAGACTGTGGTACTCCATGCCTTATAGCCATACAACACCAGGAGAGTGTTGGTATTAAAAAAGGTAGGCTTTTGTTGCTGGAAAGTGTTTGGGGTTGTTGAAGGAGGTTTTCAGTGCCCTGAAGGTAATCCAGGCTGTTTTCTTCTTCATGCTCAACTCAATCTTCTCCATGGGTCCAACGTACCCATTTGTACTGTCTGCCCCAGATATATACACGGATGGCCACCTGGGTGTCATAATCTGACCATCCAGTTAGTCTTCCCTGTTGGGATGGCAAGGCTGAACTCTTATGAGTAGTTACGGATTTCTTTCTGGAGGCTTTCTGCAAGGTTCCAGAGCTTAATGGAGCCATCTGGGATCCCCATGTGGTACCCAAGGGAAGATGTGCAACAGGCATGTGGAGTTCACATATGAAACCGGGCCTGGATCTAGAGCCTTGAGAGTCATCTTGGTAATTGAATCTGGAGGGGTGACTACCTATTACATCCTCCAAGCTTTGAAATGTCTAGTGTGTCAAACCTTTCGTAGTCTGGCTCCCCACCGCGTCAAGAGTTAAGTAAACACAAAGTGACCTCAGAGACGACAGAGCGTGAAGAGTCCAGGAGGACCAGGCAGGGCTTCCTGTCGCAGGTGGCACCTGAGCTGCGGCTTCTAGGAGGTGGAGTTCAGGAAGGCATGGATTCCAGGCACGGGGAGAAGCTAGAGGAAAGCACAGAGGTAGGAGATGGGAGGCACGGAGCAGGCCGGGTGCGCGTGAAATCAGTGTGCAGAATTGCTGGCAGGAGCATCTGGGGGCGCTCCCTCTTCCCAGTGAGCCCCAGGCCGTCCCAGGGGATCACGTACAGGCCCTGGGAGTCAGGATGACCCTGGTGTGCGACCCCAGGCAGGCCCCTCAGCCTCTCTGAGCTGCAGTTTCCTCAACTGTGAAATAGGAAGAATGGGAATATCTACGTCCCAGGGTTTTTGAATCAGTCAATAAATGTTAAGTGCCTACTATGTGCCAGGCGCTGTGCTCAACACTAGGGATACAAAAAGAGACAGAAGACAGCCCCTGCCCTCAAGGAGATTACAGTCCAATGGTGGAGACAGCATGCAAACAGATATGTGCAAAGCAAGCTATATGCAGGATAAATAGGAAATAATTAACAGAAGGAAGGCCCGGGACTAGGAAGGACTGGGGCAGGCTCCCTGTAGAAAGTGGGATTTTTAGTTCAATTTGAAGGAGGCCAGGAGGTCAGCAGCCAGGACGGAGGATGGAGAGCGTCCCAGGGCTGGGGGACAACCAGAGGGAATGGCCAGAGCTGTGAGCAGGAGGGTCTTGTTCCTGTAACAGCCAGGAGGCTCAAAGAGCCCACGTTAGGGAGTAAGATGTAGGAAGACTGGAAAAGTAGGAGGGGACCAGGTGAGGAAGGGCTCTGAATGCCAAACACATTTCGAACTTGCTCCTGGAGGCAACAGGGAGCCACTGGGATTTACTGAGTTGTGGGTGACACGCCTGGACCTGTGCTTTAGGAAAATCCCTTGTGGAGAGGATTCAATAAGATAATCTATTCAGAGTGGTTTGTAAACTAAAACACTATGTAAACATTGCTATTATTGTTATTAAGTTTGGATTTCCTCCATCCAGGGATAGATGCCTCTAATGAGCGTGTCTCTCTCCCTGTTTTGAGACTCACCAGAGTGTCTCAGAGCAAGGCTCTGTTCTCTCTTTCAAGGAATCATGAAAGCTTTTGATTTATCAATAGGGAGACCCCTTGTTGGGAGGGAGACTCCAAGGAAGCGTTTTGCTCCAAGTCCCGTGCTTCTTCCTAATTAGCAAGCAATAAGCAGACTGAGACCTGGAATTCTTTGTGTCGTCCCCTGGCGCGGCGCTGAAGATGTGTTCTGGTATTGAGCATCATCTGTACAAAGCTGCTTGCTTGTTCCCCGTGAATGCTTTTCTTGAAGGCGCCTGTGATAGGTGTGTAGAAAATTCTCATTAAGATTTTGTGTAGATAGGAAAGTAATCATACAGAAAGGTTATGGGTGTTCTTGATTAAAAAAATCCCGAGATTTTGGCCTTGCCTCCTGAAACTTCCCCTCCTTCGTGTACCGTATGAATTAATACCTCACAGCTATGTTACTCCATCATCAGTTTCCTCTTCAACTCAGCTCTGCACTGGATCTTCTCCATGACGGTGGTCAACTTCTTTTTTTTTTTTTTGGTGAGGCAATTGGGGTTAAATGACTTGCCCAGGGTCACACAGCTAGTAAGTGTCAAGTGTCTGGTCTGAGGTCGGATTTGAACTAAGGTCCTCCTGACTCCAGGGGCGGTGCTCTATCCACTGCACCACCCAGCTACCCCCAGTGGTGAACTTCTTTAGTGAACATACATTTCCTTATTTTAGGCCTTGTTTGATGTTCATGAAGAGAGTGTCATTGAATGAGGTTATCACTGTTGTTATAGCTTTAAAAGATTCTTGAATAATTTTGATGTGTGGATGGGAGAGACCTAGCTGTCCTAATATAACTTGTAGGCTCCATCAACAGAGGCATAGTGTTCAGATTCCAGTGATAGGACTACTCTACTCCATTCTGCCCAGACCACATTTAGAGTTTTTTGTTCAGTTCTGGACACCATTTCAAAGACGTGAACCAAAGGCATGAGAATGGTGTGGGGCCTGGGGACAATTTCAAAATCTGTCACATAAAACTAGGGACAATGTGCTTGTTCCCAAAAGCAGTACTGCCAGAGGTGGGCCCATGCAGCAGCACCAGGAGGGATCATGGCATCTGCAGCTAAAAGAGACATCAGAGGGTCAGTCCAACTGATTAGGAAGCAGGCCTAGAAAGGTTAATTGACTGAACAACAACGGTTGTATGAGCAGACTCTTTGTTCATACAGCTCTTGATATCCACAGGAACTTTGTAGCCCTCTGAACGTGAGCATATCTCCCTAGTTCTGTACTTGTATAATTCTGAATGCAGGATGTCAAAGTTTTAGACTACTGTTCCAGCCTGTTGAGCAGATTTAAAATTTTGATTCAGTCGTATGGTAAATTAGCTATTCCTCATAGCTATGTGTCATCTGCACAATTGATGGATTTTCCGTATTTTCTTGGATGAACACTTTAGATGATATTGATAGAAGCATTGAATTATCTAGAACCCTGAATCATAGTGGTGGAGACACATTTGTCTCCTGCAGATGGCTTCTCCTGGTCCTCCCAAGTATTAGCATCACCCTCTCCAAGGTGACCTTGCATCTACTCTATATTGGCCTTGTATGTATTGATTCATATCCATTGTCTTCACTATTAGAATGTGAGCTTCATGGGTAAAATGGTTGGTGCAGGAACAAACCAGAACTAACCCCAAACCCATTTAGGAACCAACGAGGCTTTGTTGAGTTCTCCAGTAAGGGAGCCCCACCCTCACAGTCAGAGACTCCCCAAAGGAACGAGAGGACAAAGCTTATATAGGCTTCGGTTTAGACAGGAGGTAAATTGGCTCTGGAGTTCCTTAGAACTGGGCAGAGTGCTTGCAGAGCAGGAATGGTATCCCTTGATTGAACAGGGCCAGTTGCTGGGCTAGGAACAGGAAAGACTCTCCTTTAGGGCAGCTATCTCTTTTAGCCCCCCCGCCCAATGGATAGGACCGTCCTGTAAGGAAGCTCAAAGACAGGGTGGGGGCTGCAGCGCAAGCAATATGATCCCCATCCTTCCCCCATAAAAGTTTGGGAAGTAAGGTGACTTAACGTGTTCGCCTACCTGGGGAAGCTGGGTTGTACAGTGGATAGAGCACTGAGCCTGGAGACAGGAAGATCTGAGTTCAAATCCAGCCTCAGATACTTCTAGCTGCGTGACCCTGGGCAGATCACGTAACCTTTGCCTTTTTCCTCATCTAAAAAAAGGAGATAGTAACACAGTCTTTCTCCTAGGGTCGTCTTGAGGATCACATGTGAAAACGTTTGTAAAGTGCTCGGCATAGTGCCTGGCACATAGTAGGTGCTGTACAAATACTAACTCCCTTTTCCTGCTCCTCCCCTCTACTATTACCTTCATTTTGTCCGAAAAGGTAGCTTAGGAGATTGTATCAAATACTGTGCTGAAAGCTAGATACATGTTGTATGCAGTGTGTTCTGATCGACCATCTAAGGTGTCAATTAAGAGCATGAAGGAATTTTTTTTTTCCTTTGGACAAGGGTTTATTCTTAATGTACCTATGCTAGGTCTTACTGATCAAGACTTTCATTTATAACTGCACATAAACCATCTCTTTTACTGTAGGTTATGGAATCTTGGCAGAAATTAGCATCAGGCTTGTCAGTCTGTCATTTCCAGATTCAACCTGTTTGTTTTTCCTGAAAATTCAGATATTTTTCTAAAGCTCATCAACAGTAATTCTGTGATCATATTTTTTCTAATACCCTAATGTGTAATTCATTTAGTCTTAGATACTTGAACTCATTTAAAGCATTAAGATGCTCTATTACTATCTTCTCACATATCTTAGGCTTCAATTTGTTGTAAACAGTGTTCTGTCATTTGTATATTATTCATCTTTGATGGATGAGACAACCTAGAGATTAACAAAATTATAACAATAGCTAGCATGTACATATTGCTTTACATTTGCAAAATATCTTATATTTGTTATCCTTTTTGATCCTCACAACCACCATGTTGTTCTGTTGTTCCACCTCTGTGTGGGATAGCTTCTATTATTCCCATTTTACAGATGAGGAAACTGAGGGTGAAGGAGGTAAAATAACTTTAACACAGCTACTAAGTGGCTGAGACGGGATTTAAACCCTATTCGTTATGCCACCTTGTTACCTCAGCACAGAGATTATTGCATATTGACACTGTTTTCTTTTTTTTTTTTTTTTTTTCAGTGTGCCTTAAGCCAGGCACTAGGTGTGAAACAATGGAGGCAATTCCCAGGCAAGACATTTCTGTTGGAAAGCTATCCAAGGAACAACTTAAGAAGCATGGAATCTGTAATTCCAAATTTGGAAAAGGCTGGGAATGTGATATTAGATTAGAATACCAGGAGAGCAGTCATAAAAAACAGTCCCAGCAAGTTATGATCAACCACAGAAATACTTCTACTAAGTTTAATGCCAATATATATAACAAATTTGGAATAGGCTTCGGTCTGGGCCCAGTCTTGGTTCCACATCAGAGAGTTCATATGGGACAGTGTCTGCAGAGATGTGATGCACGTAGAAAGAACTTCAAACAGTGTTTGGATGAAAGTAATCACATTGGAATCTTTTTTGACAAGAAGCTTTGCAAGTGTCATCAATCAATGTAGGGAGGCATTCAGTTGCCATTCAGACATTATTCAACATCATAAGAAAGATACTGAAGAAAATTCAAATAGATGTTATGAATGTGGGGAAGTGTTCAGTTGCCGATCTTGTCTTATTCTACGTTGGGGAGTTTAGATTGAAGAAGAACCCACTGAGTATAATGAACGTGGTCAGTCCTTTAGTTGGCATCAGCATATTACTGAACAGAAAAACATTCTGATGGGAGAGAAACACTTTAAATATAACAAATGTAGGAAATTGTTTAATCATCCTAGATACCTTGCTAACCATAAGAGAAGTCATACTGGAGAGAAACAGTTTGACTGTAGCAACTGTGGGAAATGTTTTACTCAGGAGACCTTACTAAACATAGGAGACTTCGTACAGAAGAGAAATCCTTTAAATATAATGGATGTGGCAAATCGTTTAGCCGGAAGGAAAGGCTTACTACACATGAGAGGATTCATACTGGAGAGAAACACTTCGAACGTAATGAATGTGGGAAATCCTTTAGCTGGAGGCAACAGCTTACTACACATAAGAGAATTCATATTGGAGATACATCTTTTCAGTGAAGTTAGAAGTACCTCTACCAACAGTTGAGGGAACACTGAGTTTGGATTTAGAGAGAGGACCAGAATTCAAAAATCCTGCTCTGTCACTTACTTGTGATATGCGACAGGTCATTCAACCTCTCTCGGCCTCAGTTTCACTACTTGTAAAATAAGGAAGTTGAATTAGTTGATCTCTAAAATCCCTTTCAAGCACCAAAATTTATGATCTCAGAATACGGGCAGTCCTTTAGCTAGTGTCATTATTGAAAGAATTCATACCTGAAAGAAAGACTTACTATATTAATTGTGAAAAGTTCTTTAGATATCATTGATGCCTTAGTAAACATAAAAGTATTTGTATAGGTGGGAGAAAGCCTTTGTAGAGACCAGTAGTTTTACTGACTTGTGAATCACCTCAAAATGACATTTTTCACCAAGTGTGTAGAACTTCTCTGTGTTAAAACATATGCTGCATTGCTCACTTTTACTTTGCTCTTTAAATTTCTATATTGCAGGATAGTATTTCTTTTAACTCCTGGCTTTCTCATCAAAAATAAGGAAGGGATGTACCACATGCCCTGAGTTCCTGAATCTTTAATTGTCCAATGTGCAAGGGTAACTAGGGAGAATTGCATCTGGAAACACACAGAAAGGGCCAAGTTCTGAATTACACACTCAGGTATAAGCTTCCGTCCTGTGTTAAATAGCTTCCTTCAGAAGAACCCAACTGTGTCTGTAGTTTTCCATTAAGTCCCTGAGGGCATAAAAACCTCTCTCCTGACTGGGTGAGGAGGCACACAGCATATGGTATAGTGTTCCTGGTTGCCACTGGTGCATTAGTGATTTTATCAATGTTGCCTATTGCATGGGTACAACCTTAGGTTCCTAGGGTCTGGAGTCACATCCACTCTTCAGGCTACAGGTCCGTGGCTTACAGTAAATGGCACTTATAGTATGTTGATTAATGAGCATTTTGATTAATGCCAAAAGTAAATCCTGATACATTCCATAACTGCTTCTAGTGTTATCACTACATTACACAATTCAAACTGAAATGATGATTGACTTATCCATACAGTTACCATACCCTTTGTTACCATTTTGTGAAAACCTTTAGCAATGACTTTTGCCTTAACATTGTAGAGTTTATGCTGGAGAGAAACTCTGAGTGCAGTGACTGGTTAAAGTCTTCAGCCACAACTCCCATCTTACTCTACAAAAGAGCATTCACAAAATCTGTTTCAGAGAATCTGAGGACATCAAGTAGAACCCAGACCTGACCAATTAGCATTGCTTTTCACTGGATGGTGATGTTAATATGGCCATGTGGTCTCTCCTTGGAAGGGGAATCATCATTAGAAAATTTTTAGATAGCTGTAATTGTCAGGAAGCTTTTCCTTACATCAAGCTTTACTGTCTTTCCACAACTTCCATCCATTGTAACTATTGCTTTTGATTCTGTCCTCTGGGGCCAACCAAAAAAAAAAAAAAAAAAGAAAAAGTCTTTTTTTGTCATACATCCCACCTCTTCGCACTCTACCAGTAGCTTTAACAGATCCTGATAAGAAGTATTTTCCAGCTTACTCACCATCCTGGGCACTGTCTTGTGGATGTACCTTAGCTTGTAGTTTCTAAAATATGATGGTTAGAACTGAACACAGCACTTCAGATGTGGTCTTACAAAACAGAACTATCAGCTCCTTTTTTCTTGGCCCTGTTATTTCTTTAAAATGTAGCCTAGTATACCATTTTACTTATGTGTGAATAGAAGAGGACAGATGTGCGAGATATTGAAGAGATAGAATTGACAGGACCTTGCAACAGACTGGATATGGGCATTGAATGAAAGAAGATCTGATGATCAACCAGCAATCATTCATTAAACACCTATTATGTGCCGTGCACTGTGCTAGAGATGCAAGTTCAAAGGATAAAACAATCTACTCACCAAGCTTACATTCTAATGGGAGGCTCTTAGGTTGTAAACATGGATGATGATGCCCTTCAGAGAAATAGGGATCTAAGGGGAAAGGTAATGAGTTTTTTTTCAGACATGTTGAGTTTCAAGTGTCTTTTGGATATCCAGGTGATGTCCAGAGGCAGTTACATGGTGCAGTGGATAGAGCAGCAGAGCTAGAATTGTAAAGATCTCAGTTCAAATCCAAACTAAGACACTTGGGGCAGCTAGGTGGCGCAGTGGATAGAGCACTGGCCCTGGAATCAGGAGGACCTGCGTTCAAATGCAGCCTCAGACACTTGATACTTACTAGCTGTGTGACCCTGGGTAAGTCACTTAACCCCGTTTCCTAGCCAAAAAAAAAACAAAACCCACAAACAAAGACACTTAATAGCTGTGTGGCTCTGAATAAGTCACAACTTCTATCTCAGTTTCTTCATCTGTAAAATGGAGATAATAAAAGCACCTATCTCCCAGGGTGTTTGTGAGGATAAAATGAAATAATGTTTATAAAGCACTTTGCGGACCTTAAAATGCTCTGTAAATGCTTGTTAGGTCAAGCAGCCGTTGAAAATGCCTAAGGAACTGAGAAGAAATGATGACGGTGAACTGCATAGAGATGGTATAGCCTGGTACAGTGGGAGGAGAGGTGAATCTAATCAGAGGACCTGGCTATACCTTCTACTACTGTGTAACCACGGATAGCTCTCTTAACATGTTAGGACTTAACTTTCTTATTTGTAAAATGAAGAAGTTGGACCAAGTAATTCACAGCTTTAAATCTGTGATTAGTGGCCATGAGGCAGCAAAAGGACATTTTATAAGGGAGATTCTGCAATTAAATAGGTATGGACAATATGATTTGAAGAGGGACAGGGTACTTACATGTAGTGAGATCAGAAATGGTTTCCAATAGGAAGTACCTATAGGAGTTTTGAAAGTAATGAAACAACCAGTATTGGGCCCAGTGGGGCTAGGGCATCTCCCCTTTCCCACTAAAGGGACCTCCACTCTGGGCTCATACTCAAAGTTGAGGTTCGTTCCAAAGCAGATCTGGCTCATAAAAAGGTGTTAGGGTTTTTTCCTTGAATCCTGCCACCTCACATCCCCATCTCAGAATTTTAGGGAGAATTGCTTTTAAAAAATAATAACTAGCATTTATGTACCACTTAAGGCTTGCAGAGCATTTTGCAAATGCTATCTCATATCCTGACGAGAACCCTGGGAGCTATGTGCCGCTATTATCCTCATTTTTCAGATTAAGCTATTGAGGTTGGTAGAAGTTAAGTGCCTCACTTAGGGTCACACAACAAGTGTCTGAAGGGAGGATTTTGAACTTGGGTTTTCTTGACAGCACAGAGTGCTGGGCCTGGAGTCAGGAAGACTCATCTTCCTGAGTTCAAATCTGGCCTCAGACACTTACGAACTCTGTGTCTCTGGGCAGGCCACTTAACCCTGTTTGCCTCAGTTTCCTCATCTGTAAGATGAACTGGAGAAGGACATGGCAAACTTCTCCAGCATCTTTGCCAAGAAAACCCCAGTGGGGTCATGAAGAGTTGGAAACAGTTGAACAACATTTCTTTCTTTTCTTTCTTTTTTTTTTTTTGCCTTTTTGGTGAGGCAGTCGGGGTTAAGTGACTTGCCCAGGGTTACACAGCTAGTAAGTGTCATGTGTCTGAGGTCAGATTCGAACTCAGGTCCTCCTGACTCCAAGGCTGGAGCTCTATCCACTGCGCCACCTAGCTTCCCCTATTGAACAACATTTCTTGACTCCAGTTCCAGCACACTATCTTCTACATCTCCTAGTTGCCTCCTACTGCAGGCAGATTTGGCTCATGTCCAGGATTTTCCCAAAGGGTACTTGATGTATAATGTATTCCTATTATAAGACAGCTGTTCATTTCTTCCCCATTAGACGTTAAAAATATAAAAGGTTCCTAAGTTCAGTATCTTCTCTATGCAGATAATTTCCATATCTATACATCCAACCCTAGTGTCTGTTGAGCTCCAGTTCCACATCCCAGCTCCCTGTTGGATATTTTGAATGGGATGTCCCATTGGCTTCTCAAATTCAACACAACCAAAACAACCCATTCTTCTCCAAACTCTCCTGTTTTGAACTTCCCTATCACTGTCAAGGGCACCATCATTGTCCCTGTCACTCAGGCTCGAATTTTCAGTTCCTTTCCCAATTCCTCCCTCACACTCACTCTACATATGCAATCCATTGCCAAATCTTGCCTTTTTTTAAACCTCTATAACATCTCTCATATACATCCATTTCTCTTTGCTCACAATCTTAATTCAGGTCTTCATTATCTCTCACCGGGACTACTACAATAGCTTTCTAACTGCTCTCCCTGCCTCAGGGCTCTCCACTCCAGTGCATCCACCACTGAGTCAAAGTCACTATATCACTTTCTTTTTCAATGAGCTCCATTTGCTATTACCTCCAGGAATAAATATAAATCCCTCTGTTTGCCATCTAAAGTTCGTCATAACTGGGTCCCTTCCTACCCTGAGTCTGTTTACACAGACTCTATAATCCACCTTCTTGCAGCTCCTGGAACATGGCACTCCATCCCTGGTCTCTGCCTTTGCCCTGATTGTACCTCTACCTGGAATGCACTGCCCTCTCACTTCTGTTCTTTGTTTTACTGGCTTCCTTCAAGACGGCTCTAGGCTCAGTTTCTGCATAAGACCCTTCCCAGTCCCCTGTTACTAATAGTCCCTTCTCTCTTAGATTTCTTTCCCTCTACACTGTACAAATCTTATTTCTACCTCGTTTAAAATGCATGCTTTTTGAAGGTCAGGACTGTTTAACCTGCCTTTCTTTGTATCCCCAGAGCTTAGCACATTTCTTGGCACATAGGATGGTCTTAATAAAATGTTGACTGACTGACAAATGCACAGTAGAGAAGACATTAATCTCAGTGCTGCATTGCCCAACTTCCTCGTGATCCGTGTCTTATGTCTTATCTCACCAAATCAGGTGAGAGAGGGGGTTCCTACGAGTGGTCACGAGTCCAAGGAAACTCCCACTAGTAAGCTCTGACTTAGAGACCCAGGAATTACCAACCTTTCAAAGTCCGAAAATTGCTTCTAAGTCTGGAAAAGTCTATGGTAGCTGAAGAGAAGAGGGTCTAGGACAAACACCCACAGGTGGTGGATTTGGCACAGATGAAGAAACCATAAAGACTAGGAAGGAGGCAGGCAGGCAATAATTGATTATTAAGCACTTACTGTGTGCCACAGCTGTGCTAAGCACTGAGAATACAAATGAAAGCAAAAAAAAAAAAAAGATGATAGCCCCTGCCTTTAGGGGGTTTACATTCTAATGGGGAAGAAAATACATAAAAGAGGGCTAAAAGGATGGGGTGGGATGAGGATGGTAGCCATATTGAGGCGAGGTGGCAAAGTCTGGAAAGTTAGAAGCACAGCCGAGAGGGGAATGAAGCATGGCCAGGGTGGGCCCATCTCCGAAATAGAAGCCTCCAGAAGGAACTTACCAGTGGAAGAAGGGGCTGGCATGGTAGAGGGATGTCCCAAGGTGAGAAGGCCCCTAATGATAAGGGAAGTTCTAGGGCAGGGATGGGGAACCTGCGGCCTCAAGACTACATGTGGCTCTCTAGGTCCTCAAGTGTGGCCCTTTGACTGAATCCATACTCCACAGAACAAATCCCCTTAATAAAAGGATTTGTTCTGTAAAACTTTGACTCTGTCAAAAGACTGCACCCAAGGACTTAGAAGGCCACATATGGCCTCGAGGCTGCAGGTTCCGCATCCCTGATCTAGGGTGAGAAGGTAGCCGAGTTGTGATGGTAAAGTCCGGAAGAATCAAAAACACAGCGGATAGGAGAATGAAACATGGCCAACCTGGGCCCACCCCCGGAAGGAACTCACCAACGGGAGGATGGGGCCAGGGTGGCAGAGTGGTGTTCCAAAGTAAGAAGGCTCCAGGAGCTGAGAGAAGGCACGGGGTGGGGGGGGGGGACAACAGCTGTTATGGTGGGGAAATCAGGGAGTCAGAAGCACAGTGTGGAGGGGAATTAA